GTGAATGGATAAATTCTGTATGCCATTGAGACAGAAATAAGAGAGTATAAAAAAAATTAAATACTACAAACAGAAGGGAAAACAGAAGTATAAAGGTAATAAGATAAAAAAAAAAACTTGCCAATGGGAAGAGATATTTTCAAGCTCGAAGCCGAAACTGGACGTACAACAAAGAATGAGAAGAAATACTACTTACAAGAATCAACGCTGTTTGAACTTGGTGAAACATGATTGAAGAAGAATGATGAATTAGGGATCAGAGTTTGGACTCATAGATTCCGAGAAAAAATCGCGTCAAGGAAATCCGCGGGTAATGGGCGGGAGCAAAATCTTCTGAGTGTCTTTTTTCATAGAATCCCGCTCCAAATCTCGGAATAATTTAGTGTATAGAGTTCGGGGGACCCCAAAGTACCATAGGGACACAAAATCTCAACAAAAAAAATTCAGGAATTTCATCGTTTTAGTAAGAAGGTAGCTACCTACCTTATGATTTAGATTTTAGAGAATTTTGAAAGGTCTTAGCTTTTTTTCTAAGATCGATAGAGTTTCGAGTTTCAGGGTACTTATGGTCCTTATAAGTTGAAAATGTAAAAGAATTTGCTCCGAATTTTGGAAGGTGAATTTCAACTTTATAACTTTGGAATGGTAATAGTTATTGATATTGAATTCGATCGTTTTGTCGCAAATTAAATCCTCTTTCGAATTAAACATGATTCATTGAAATCGGTCCAGGGTTATAGCCTATTTAATAAGGCCATGTCAAGTTGGGAAATTCGAAATACAATTTTGGAATTTTCTTCTTGAATTTTTTCCGGAGTTAGGAAGCCGCAAACGAGAAAATGCCAGGAGGCATTTTCTGTTCAATTTGACTCCCTCTACTAAAAAAATAGTTGTGGGACTTTTTGGGATCCCCTCTACAAAATGGCTATTTTGAAATTCCGAAATTTTCTGAGTGCCTTTTTTCATAGAATCCGGCCAATCCGGCTCCAAATCTGGGAATAATTTAGTGTATGGAGTTTGGGGGAGTCCGATGGACCATAATAATTAAGGAGACAAAATCTCAAAAAAAAAAATAATAGAAGCCATTTGGGGTGATTAATTATCAATTTTTCGTTATAGACGTCCTCTTTTTAGTCCCAATGACGTGAATGAAATCCAATTAGTCACGTCATTATGACGAAAGCGTATTTGCTGGGAAATCTCAAACTAATTTAGTGTATGGAGTTCGGGGGATCCCATAAAGGACCATTAAGACACAAAATCTCAACAAATTTTTTTTTTAATTTCATCGTTTTAGTAACTAGGTAGCTATATACCTAACTTATGATTTAGATTTGGAAAACTTTGAAAAGTCATAACTTTTTTTCTAAGATCGCTAGAGTTTCAGGGTACTTATGGCCCTTATAAGTTGAAAATGTTATAGAATTTGCTCCAAATTGAGTTTTTATTGTTTTTGTAATTGTTTGCGATCGACTACCACATCCATCTCTTGTCAGGTGATTATTACTTTATGTATTAACATTGTATCTTTTTTTTTTCAACATCGGTAGAGTTTCAGGGTACTTATATGGCCCTTATAAGTTGAAAATGTAAAAGAATTTGCTTCGAACTTTGGAAGGTGAATTTCAACTTTATAACTTTGGAATGGTAATAGTTATATTGATATTGAATTGGATCGTTTTGTGGCCAATTAAATCCCCTTTCGAATTAAACATGATTCATTAAAATCGGTCCAAATGTTCCAGGGTTATGGCCACTTTAATAGGGCCATGTCAAGTTGGGAAATTCGAAATACAATTTTGGAATTTTTTTCTTGAATTTTTTCCAGGGTTTGGAAGCCTCAAACGGGAAAATACCAAGAGGCATTTTCTGTTTAATTTGACCCCCTCTACTCAAAGAAAAATTAGTTTTGGGACTTTTTGGGATCCTTTCCTCAAAATGGCTATCTTGAAATTCCGAAATTTTCTGAGTGCCTTTTTTTATAGAATCTGGCTCCAATCTGGGAATAATTTAGTGTATGGAGTTTGGGGGATTCCGATGGACCAAGGACACAAAATCTCAACAAAAAAAAAATTGAAATTTCATCGTTTTATCAAGATGGTAGCTACCTTATGATTTAGATTTTCGAAAACTTTGAAAGTTCATAACTTTTTTTCTATTATAGATAGAAAGCTGCAATTTTCGGCGATTCTTATCCCAGCAGAGGACAACAATCCCTTTCAGCTCATTTGGACTCATAGTTCCTAAGATAAAATCGCACAGTGATGGATATCGCCAATCCAGGATTCCAAAAGTCCACATTTTGGTAGCAACAAATTGGCGGAAAAATTATCCTCACGTCTTTAGAAATGTGTGCTGAACAAAAAAAGTTAAAATCTAAATCCTTATCAAGATAAACAATTTTTTTCTGGCGTTCTGAATATGTTGTTTTATTATTTAATGCACGCGCGGACACGATATTTTATTTTATTTGCGTGGAGTTTGAACAGTTAGTATCAAGAGTTTATAAGCGCTATAACAAAGTTATTTAAAATGGAAATCTATGGAGGTAAGTACTTTACTTTTAAACTATTTTGGTTGCTGTGAAAGTAAAAGTTAACTTATAGTTCATGTATAAAAAACATTGTAATAAATCAAGATAAAAAATATGATATTTCTAAGAATTGGAGCAGAATTTTTGTGGGACCCATTAAGACTCGGACCCAATCGGCCCATAATGGTCTACAATAGTTGGTCTTTTAAAATATATATAATTTTTTTTGCGCATCTTGTCGCTTCTATTAATAAATACATTTTTAGTTAGAACCTCCCTAATGTTAAGAATCCTGTTTAAAGTAAACAAGCCCTATAACCTATAAGCCAATTTTATGCGGATATGATTATTAGGTACTACCCCCACCACTATTTAAAGATTATGTGCGCCAATGTATAAAATATGCTTATAATATCTTGAACATAAGAAGATCAACTGAAATTATTTTTTATCAGAAATAGATATATTTTTTTTTTTTTTTATTTTTTTTTTTATTTTTTTTTTTATCAGAAATAGATATTTATTAATACAGCTGAGACTTTTGGAATTCTAGATTTGCAATTTCTATCACTGTGAATCGTGTTTGGGGTGATTTATCAATTTTTCAATTTTTCTGAGTGCCTTTATTCAAATTATCTGGGAAAAATTTTTCATTGGTAGGTAATTTATCAGAGAAAATCCAAGAACGTGTTTCCAAACACGAAATCATTATGACACAAAATATTAATTTTTTTTCTCAAAAATAGATGTGTCACTCTAAATTTTTGTTTTAAAATGAAGTTATAAGGCTTACATAATATCCACAAGGAAAAAACTTCATCGGTAGGAAATTTTTTCATCCGTGAGAATTTTATACATCTGTCAAAACTGGACATACCAACAATAAATTGACATGTTTCAGTTATTGATTTGAATCAATCGGATTGAATTACGCGATAATTTGCACTAGTGCAAATTATCACGATAATTGCATAGTAACTGGTGCGAGAGCTGGTGCTTTGACATTTTTTGACAAAAAATAAAAAAATTTGATTTACGAAATTCTCTCATAAAATACAACTCGTGCAATGGAAATATATTTTCAATTTTTTACAAATTTGCACTCGTGCACTAGGTGCACTCGTGCTCTTTTTCAACTAAAAATGCATTTGGGCAAATTTCCCAAAAATTATCGATAATTTCCATTGCACTCGTTATATTAGGTACTATGTATTGAAAATTCAAGAAGATATTTCCAAACACGAAATCAATATGACACAAAATATTAATTTTTATTTGGAAAAATAGAAGACGTGTCACTCTAATTTTTGTTTTAAAATAAAGTTATAAGGGCAGGCTTTCATAATATCCACAAGGGAAAATTTTTCCATCGTTAGGAAATTTTTTATCAATGAACATTCAAAAAGGTGTTTTAGTACAGGGTAATTAGCCTATTTGAACTAAAAACAAAATATAAAGCTAAAAATTTGTTTGAAGGTACATTATGGGTAAGTGAATAAAATTTAATAGTCTTGCACCTTGTGCGTGATGGTGGGAAGCCGCCAGTGGACGCTATCTTCAAAGAAATATTTGAAAAAATTAGTCTTGCTACTTTTTTTTATTGTTAAAGTCAATCACAAAACTAATCAAATGAAATGTCCAAAAATGATAGGAAGGAACCATGCTTCACGTTTTTCGAGCCGCCACCATTTTGCTGGTCTGACGCTATCCAAACTTTAACCTAGAACGAAAGAAAACTCCGTTGAAATGCTGCGAAGGAGCATTCCTATAGCTCCGACTGTTCTTCCTCGTCACCTAGCATGGGAGGTCTGTAGCTGCATAATTCAACATTACATTTTCCACACATGGCAGTACATGAGAGTCCCCCTCGGCGACAGTCACATCTTTGGGCACAGTCAGTTTTACAATCACAAAATACCAACTTCGATAAATTTTCGGGGGCCAAATAAGGGTCGAGTGTAGGAATTGGCACCAGTTGCCCCTCTCTTTTCTTCCATCCTCAATCAGTAGCAGAAAATTTTACCCCACGCCAAGACTGAACTTGGTGAAAAACTCTGTAGCAGTGTTGTTTTGTTACTCCAGATGTTGGTGGTAACATCGCAAGATTAAAGTTTCCAAAAACGGGTTGTTAAGCTATAACACTTATACAATTAAATCTGATTTTGCTTAAGTTATCTGAAGAAACACGACCGTTACATAATAGTTTTAAGAAATACTCTCCGGCTTGAGCAATATCTTTTTTGGTTGCATTGGTATCATTGAATATAGAAACTTTTTGTCTTGATATCCACAGACCTCTTAGACCTTGTTGTTCTTCTAATATGTTCTGCATTCTTCTTACCATATTCCCTTTCATTGTAACCATCAAACACAATAGTACTTTCAAGGCCATAGTGTCTTTTTACATAGACGATGTAACTGTCACATATGTATTTGGGAAAACAAACCAGATTTTGGTCAAACTACTCTATGCAGAAGATAACCACCATCCATTACAAAACAAGGTTCTGAAGGCAAACTGTCCGGGATACCAATATAACCTTTGTTCAACGCTAGGGTAGTTATCATATTCACAGGCAACTTTGATTAAAATTGCGGCAGCTTCAACGATTCGCATTCGCTCGTCTGTAATATTTTTTAATTTGTCCTCATACCACTTATCATTTAAGATACGAGAAACTGTACCCCGGGAACATAATGTCCATTTTCCACTTTTTGATGTCATACAAATGGAATCACCATAATGAGCCTTAAGTTTCATTTTAACATATTCTTCAGAATAAACTTCTCCGTCGAGGGATTTTTCTTTCATTACTGAGATCAATTCTTTATGTCGTACACATCATCATTATTTTCTAGAAAATCACACAGCTGATAAAATGCATTATGTTTTGCCAAGTTTACACCTTTTTTCTTATCACACAAAGAAAGAGGCACGATTAAATAGGCCCTCGTAAATTTCAACTAAATTTAAATATTTTAAAGGTATCATCATTGCCAAAAAAAAATTGAAATGTAAAGAGGATCGTACGTCTGTTATAGCAGATATATGGACCCCAAAAACGTTCTGCGTCCCCACCACCCGGCACAAGCTGCAACACCAGAAATTATGAATAACGATACTATAAAAGCTATCCGTTTACCAACTTTTAGCTTTATGTTTTGTTTTAAGAAATTTTCGCTCATAATTGGCTAATTACCCTGGACTATTTCCAAACACGAAATCAATAAGACACAAAATATTATTTTTTTTCGAAAAATTAGGTGTGTCACTCTAATTTTTGTTTTAAAATGAAGTTATAAGGGTAGGCTTTCATAATATCCACAAGGGAAAAATTTTTCATCGGTAGGAAATTTTTTATCAGTGAAAATTCAAAAAGATGTTTCCAAACACTAAATCACTGTTCACTGATAAAAAAATTCCTTCCGATAAAAAATATGTTTCTTGTAGGAAATCCACAACATGAATTAGAGTCACACGTCATTTTTATCATAAACGGATACAATACAAAATGAAAATACAAATAAAATTCGCATGGGAAAATTAATGAAACTTAATCTTACCTTTATTTAAAAAAAACTTGAACAAGAAACAAAGTCATATCTTTGCCCTTGTCCAAAATACAAAAATTGATTAACCACCGCTGGCGGTAATTCGCTTTTCCTGAAAAATCGTTGCTGAACGGGTGCTAACTTCACACGCGTTAGGAAAACGGGGTCCTCTTAAGATCCCGTCCATTTTTCGCATTCTTAAGTCATATCCAACTTCTTCGAGATATGGACGATTTTTTCCAATTGACGTTACCAAGCTAGATATGTAGTTATTTTTGATATATATTTTTTTATTGGATGTATAAGCACAGAAATAAGCTTCTATTGCTTTATTGGCTTACTGTGTTTACAGGTGATGGATCAGCGAACCGTTTTCTGCGATAAGTGCAGGAATTAAATGAGCCAATTTTCTCGAATCGTTCCAAAAAGGCCAATTTTGTTGAATAGGCCCGCACTTTTGCTAATTTTTCAAATTTGCGTGCTTCGATAAAACTAAAAATATAATTTTCTGCCATCCCACTTCCGAAAAACTAGACCATTTTTGAGAAAATAATTTTATGAACTGTGTTTTTAGTATAGTCAGAAAGCTAAGAAGTTCTAGATGAATGAAGTTTTAATGTGTTAAATAACTGGATTACAGTGGCGGATCTAACATGAAGCAAACGACGCACTCTGTGTCGGGGCCCCCACACAACCGAATTCTAGAGGCATCGATAAAAATGAATAAAAGAAATAAACTCATAAATATACAAAAAAAAAAACGAAAATTTAATTTTGAAGGAGATCCATAGATAATTTACGGCACTTGTCGGTGGAGTACGGACATTACATAGATGTGCTTTTTAGTTTTTGTTTTTGGTGCCTTGTGTGTGTACTAAGGGCGGGTATTACAAAACTATTTTGACAGATAACTGAAAGTTAACTCCTGAAATTACTGAGAAGTAACGTCATTCCAGAAGTTAACATTTGGTTATTCTATCACAATAGTTTTGTAATACCCGCCCTAGTGGAGTAGGTGTCAGTTAACCAACCAATTTAGCTGGAAATACGCATCGCCCGCCAAGGGAAATAGTGCCCGTGACTTGAAACATTTCAAACATCTTTTTCGTTTATTTGGTCTCATATGTTCTTAATAAACCTGTGGTTCAATTAAATTTATTTTTATATTTGGCTTTAAAAACAGTCTGACAGGGCCCCAAAAATTTTCTTGCGTCGGGCCCCCCATGGGCTAGGTCCGCCACTGCTGGATCACCATGATAAGAGTAAATTACAAGCAAATATAGATTCATACTTCTCCATTATTGGACTTAAAAAAAAAGAGTATTCCTAACACATTAACTGCCACTTGGAATTTGTTAGAATTGTGAAGTTGACACCCTGTACAGCCGGCGGCCCACTGACTATATTATGATTGGGCCACCTGAAGAGCCGGCATACAACAGGAGAGCTGTGTTTTTGAATAAATTGTAGGCCAGCTGTTCAGGTTTTGTGCAATTCAAGTGTTGTTCGGCATACAAGTAAACATGTGCACCATTGGTTTGGCAATAGGAGCATGCCAATGTAAAAAAAAATGGATAGAAATTTTCGTAATATGCCGTATATTTCGTGCGGCGCTACAGGTAGGTACATGTCAGTTGGCAGCCGGCTTTACAGGTGGCAGTTAACGTGTTAACTGGTTTCAAAATGGCTAGTTCGAACAGGGGCGAGTGAAGTCAATTACAAAGTGAGTGAAGTCAATTACAAAGTATGATATAGTTTATTGCTCCATACATCTCTATGCCGTCAGTCTGAATCTGATATTTAATTGTTCTATTAAGCAATCTAAGTTTGAGTTGTTAATATTCAAAAATGGCTGTACCTACCTTCTATTAGAACCTGGTCCGGTCGGAAATAAATTTGACTTCTTCATTTTTATTTCTATGCACATAAATGTAGGATGTAGGGGCTCATTTTTGATAGGGCGGAGTGGTAAGTTAGTTTGTTTATGTCAAGCTTACCAGCCCTCAAGTATTGTTACTCCAGCGAGTTGAATTGATGTTGGTTAGTTACTATCAGCTTGATTTCTATGATGTTTATAGAATTTACCTCGAGTTAGAACTCGTTTACCTACTAAAAAGATATTGGTTCAAATGCCTAGATTCAACAAGGGTTTTTTTTAACACAGACATTAAATTTGGGCAGCCTCCTAAAGCCAAAAACGTTTAGCTGCTCTTTGTAATTCAATAATTATGAAAAAAAAAATCCACAACATTTTTATTAAATGGGAGTGATGAGATGATAAATCAAAAAGAAGACAGTGTATTTAGCATTTACTTAATTTACAATATGCAATCATACATAAGATAATATATCTACAGCCAGAAAAATATCACCACATATTTTAAACTACATTTTGAGTTCTAGTTTGAGACTGTATTTCCTAATATATACAGTCAATCCTTGTTCAATCAATAACAGATTTAAAAAGTAACAGCTAAGATGGGATGTATAAAACATTTTAGATATACACAAAAAATTAAAGCTTGTATAAAAACACCATATTCAGTACTTCCTTTGTACATTTATTTAAATAAATTCATTATCAGACATGTATAAGCATTCGCATAGTAATACCAAACATGAAATAATTGAAGAGAATTACGCCCCTGGCGCTGAGGAGAAAGAAACTAAAAGGTTTTTATTTTGTATTTTCTCCAAGTCTGAATTTCAGACATTCAGAGCACAACAGCTGCATTACTATCATACCGTTTTATATCAAATAATAAATAATATGAAATAAGTAACATGGATGTATGTTTAACACTTTCCAGAAAGACATATGTCGCCTAATTTACAAAATGGTACAATTTCAATGGATAACACTAATACGAATTGATTAGCTATTAGAAGAGATTGAAATCTCAGTCTAGTTTTGGTCTCGGAAATAGTTTTTTTACATTGGCGTAACACAGCTCACTACATGCACTCTGTCCTTTGTGGTAAACCGTACTGTATAATCACTATACATGGATTTATTCTGTACATGAACCAGACTATCATATTGCCAGTTTATATCTACAATATCGGAGCAGATTAGCTGCGCGATATTTGGAATAGCACTTTCGAAATGAGTAAAGCCACTTGTTGATCTAAAATTTGGCTCATCACCAAAGCTAATAATCGGGGTTCCTGCTGCACCAAGAGAGCCTTGTTGTCAGGATGCCTAGCAAGGAATACTAAAGTTGCTGCCGCTCTTCTAAGCATATCTAAACTAGTGCCCATGGAATCTGGATTATCTCTTAGAGCGGCAATTCCACGCTGATTTGCTACTTCTAGGGCACTTTGTTCAGCTTGCTCAATAAATGCTACTAATAGAGACACACATGGTGTTTGTGAAGCAACTACCCTTGCCATGCTACTGTCCGCCGCAGCTAGGTAATGCAGAAGGTTTATAGAGAATTCCCTTAGTACCTGATCTTCGGATCGACAAAGGTGTTTTGTAAGTACTGCACATAGTTTTTCTAGCCTGCAAAATGGTGGGGTAGCTACTACTAAATCTACATTGCTGTGAGTAACACTAAGTTTGCACAAAGCTTCCAAAGCAAGCCTCTGTGGTGAGAGCAATGACGATGTGCCAACTGATGGGAATGGATCTTGAGCAGCAGCAGAAGGGCATATCGCCCAATGTAGCAATCCATCTAATAATGGTCTGGCTATTTCTTCTTCATACAGGGATACATCTATGTGTCCAGCAATATTTGCTAAACACACCAAAACGTTTTCTCTTATTTGCGCAAGAAAATCCCACCACCATTCGTCTTCACCTTGCAAACTGCTACACGAGTCTGCAAAATCTGCGTCCTCCTGAAAAAAAAAAATCAAAAAAATTACTAGTTGAACAAATCACAACAAATATTTAACTATCAAGTCAAAATTGTGTTAATCAAATACTCAAGTAAATATAATGAAATATTTAGGAGATAGTACTGAAACAGAGTAACACTGCATTTTAATTCGATTCAGAATGTATTGTTTATTCCAAAATAGATACTGTTTGTTTCACGAGGATTTGTACTTATGCCTTCCTTTTTTTACAAATAAAAATTGACTGAGACAAATTGATGACGTCAATAACGTTCGTCGGTTTTTAAACCAGCAGTCATTCAATACAATACAAAATAAATCGGAACGCTATTGAATTATGAATCAATCTACGACAAACCTTTTTTTTCAAGTTATGACATTATCGATGTCAAAAGTACAAACCTTCATGAAATGAACCTTATATATTAATTGAACCACGAAACATATAGCTGAACAGAAATCTGGTGAAATAGAATTATATGGAATGGCTGACGTCATAATAGTATTATTTAGCCTTAGCATACATACAAAACTAGGTCACTCCTACAAACTCTCAAAAAACCGATTATTTTTGAAAATGATGATTCCAACTATCCTATTAAATTGAGAAAACAAGACCTAAATAAAAAAAATATTTTTGAAGCAATAAAAAACGCACAAAAGAAAATTACAAGACTGCAAAACCAAATCGAAAAAATAAAATTAAAACTCTTTAGCATTTTACCGTTGTTGTCAGTGACTTCTGAGCAAAGACTCAAAGAACATTATTTCTTTTTTTTTTACTAAACCAGAACTTTTTTTTAAATATTGGAGATTCACCTAATTAACATATTTCCAGAATGGTACTAATATTAGCATAAAAATTATTATACAAGATACAATACAACTATAAAAAAAATACTAAATATAAAATAACAAAATATAAAATATAAAACAAAACATCAAATATAAAAAATTTCCTCCAAACCAGATCCTACCGGAAGGGTCCCAAGTACTGATGCTGCATTCCCCCTTTGTACTGCTAGGCTGATACTTTGGGTAATGAAGCTAAATGCCTTTGGATGACTGATTTTCTGACAAATTTGTTTAATTTGTTTCAATTATTAATAATTAATTCAATTATTTCTTAAGCTGTTAACGGGAAAAGCGACGAATTTGGGAAAAAGAATTTGCAAATCTTCTTCTACTATAATAATTTATAAAGGATCACGCACACCTAACATGGGATTTTTGGGCTCTATGGATTTTGCCCATTTTTTGATATGTTGTAGAGGATTTATTTCTTAACAACTTTTAAATGGGACGAAGTCGTGTAGGTATTACGGTCTTTGAGATATGAGCGTTGAAAGATGAATTTTTTTGTGACTTTTTGTGTGGAGAGTATACCAAATACTGGTGTTTATCAGTCAAAATATTGACAGGTTCACATATTTTACGTCACTAACAAATGTCAACGTTAGGCTAAGGCCGGGGCCGCACTGGCGCTAACATGGACCCCAGTGCGGTCACGGCCTTAGCCAATGTTGACATTAATTTGTTAGTGACGTAAAATATGTGAACATGTCAATATTTTCACTGATAAACACCAGTATTTGGTATACTCTCCACACAAAAAGTCACAAAAAAAATCATCTTTCAACGCTCATATCTCAAAGACCGTAATACCTACACGACTTCGTCCCATTTAAGAGTTGTTAGGAAATAAATCCTCTACAACAACTGGGCAAAATCCATAGAGCCCAAAAATCCCATGTTAGGTGTGCGTTATCCTTTCCCTTGGCCTATAATTTCCTACATTATTTCATTTGAAACCTAAATGTAAATTGTTAAAAAACGATAAAACTAAACAAGTATTTTGACGAAACTCTACCTGAGGAAACAATTTTGTCCTTTGGGAAGTATGGAAAAAATGCGACACGCGCATTGAAGTATGTTCATTAGGTCTATAAACTAATTATAATGCGAAGCAAAATAATTAAAATACGCCTAAAAATACATATTCAAAACAAACTTGCTTGGCCGCCACGCCATATTGAATTTTTCGTTTTGACAGATAGATTGGATTGCCTTATGTAGATTCTATATCTCTTCAAAAGTATTCTAAATTTAAAAAAAAAGTAGTTTCGGCTCTTGATTGCAATAAACTGTAGTAACAGTTGCCACCCAAGTGTTGTGATTCGCGTAAAAAAAGTGAAAGCTAAGTCTGGTGAAATGAATGAAAAACAAATGAAAACTCTCCTGGAGGGCATGTTTAACCAGCATCTGAACCGATTAAAGACCAAGATAGAAGAGTACATGACTGAGTTGAAGAATAGGGTACTTGCATCAATTTTTTTTATTGCTGATTTCGTTAGTCCATAAAAAATAAGTCAACACGTGTTTTTTCTTTTCCTTCTTAGGCAAAAATTGACGGAGATACAACGCTATGAAATATGCCTATGACGTCACTTATCACATAAATTAGTGACGTTGCACATGCTCAGTATATCTATATATACGAAACTTAATATTTGTATAACTTCCGGAATAATCATATTTGGGCGAAATTAAAAAAAAAGTAACGATTTTTTTTCGATTTCCTACAGTTTGCAATAAACAATAATCAATTTAATTTTCCATGCAAGTACCCTATTCAGTCCAATTCATGTCCAATAGCTTCGATGAACATAAAGAAAAGTTTCAAGACATGATGGATGAAATAAGACAACTTAAAGGTGAAAATGCATCCTTGAGACAAAAACTGACTGATATGGAAGAAGGATTTAACCTTCGGGAACAGCGGGACAAGGAGAAGAATTTGATTGTGGCTGGTATTCCAAAGCAACCTGGAGGAGTAGAAGATAGCATGAAAAAAGTACTAACTACAATGAAAATGAACCTGAATGTAGGAGATGTGCAAGAAATATTCTGTATCAACAACAAGGATGATGCCCCATATTGTTGAAATTAAAATCAAATGAAATACAAAGTGCAATATTGAAAAAAATAAGAGAAATCAAGGGAATAAAGTTGAACGAGTGTGGTCTGGTAGAAGGAGCAAAGAATATTTTTTTCAATGAAGATTTGACGAAGCAGAACCAATTGCTCTTCAAAAGAGCCAGAGAAATGAAGAAAGAATCAAGTTATAAGTCAGTGTTTGTTGCAAATGGAAAGATTTACTTAAAAAAAGAAGAAAACTCCAAACCAATACGAGCTAAAACTGAGGCGGATCTAAATTAGTAAGAAGCCTAAGCAAAAAAAAAAACTGTAAAATACAATGTACATAAATAAAAAACTACATTGCTGTCCAATGGCTTGTGAAAATCTCAATATTTTATACATTAATATAAGAAGCCTACAAAACAAACTTGATCTCAACAATATACTCCTTACAAGTAATAAAAAAATACATAGAGTTCTTACGGAAACTTGGATATATCCTAATGAAAAAGTTACTTTAATATACCTTCCTATCCTACACATCTGTGCATGATTGCCGGGATTCAAGGGGCGGAGGTACATGCATATATGTAATAAATGGGCTAAACTACGTCCTGAATACGAAAATTTCAGTATCACTAGGTGATTGTAATATTATAATATCAGCTTATTTGCCACAACAGAACTTGACGATATATGGTGTCTATAGACAACCAGAAAATAATTGCAAATTATTCACTACAGAAATAAACAAACTGTTAGAAAACCAAAAGAGTCCTTGCATTTTCATCGGAGACATCAATTTAGACTTGCTAGAAAGCTCAAGAGCCACAAATAATTATAAAAACTTGGTTGGAATGAAGGGTTTCAAGATTCAAAATACGATAAACCACCAAAATGCAACACGAACAACACAAAATACTGCATCTATCATGTGATAACGAATAAAAATATACAGTGCAGCATCAAACTTCTAGATCACAAGGTGTCAGATCACAAAATTATGTATTCTGAAGTGAAAAAAGTTATCTATAACAATAGCAAACAGAAATTAACTAAAAAACATATAGATATAACGCAGTGGAAACAAGAAGAACATCTGAGTAATATCCAGATCAACAGCTTTAGAGATCTCTCTAACACGATTATTAAAATAAAAAATTACTGCACAAGAGAAAAAAGCATCCAAATAAGAACCAATAATCAATGAGTGACAAATGAGTATTTAATAAAATTGAAGCAAAGAGACAAGTTGTATGTGAGATGGAGACCAATACAAAATGAGTACACAGAAAATAAATACAAGGCACTAAAAAATGAAGTAAACAAATTGAAAATAAAGTTACAAAAACAGTTCACAGAAAAACTGCAAGAAGTACAAGGTGATGGCAGAAAGACATGGAAAATACTTAACGAACTGTGCAAAAGAAACATGAAAAAACAAAGCGAATCAATCGCATTGAAAAACAAAATTGTGATGAATGTGTCGATGATGCAGAGGTGGCCGAAGAAATGAATGACTATTTCTCAAGCATAGGGCAAATATTGGCTTCAAAAATAGACCGAAAACCTGGGTTGACATTCACAGAAGAAGAAGGACAAGAAACTATCGAAATTGAAGAAACAAACATAGAAGAAATACAGAAGATAATAAGTAAATTAATTGTGCACCTGGTATGGATGGTATTGCAAAAAAAGATATCGAGACACTTCTGCACATTATCGGACCAACAATTGTGAGGTTGACTAACTGTGTTTTAGAAAGTGGACAATATCCCGAAGAACTTAAAACTGCATGGATAGTGTCAATACCTTAGATTATATACAGGCACACCTAGATACGCAAAGCATTCAAAATAATTCAGCCAAGAAGGGGTCACAGTCTAAGCCCATGTCTTATACCAAGTATGCACTGATACGTTGGATACCTAGAAAAACCTGAAGCGATTTTTTTTTAAACGATTTGATTGGTCATCACTTGTCAACGCGTGTTTATTTGGTTTATGTGGGAATCAGCTTTTAAGGGCGTGCGTAAAAATTTTGTGCCGTAGTAACGGCAGTTCTTGAGCAATGGCTGAAACAGCTGATTTTCGATTTGTTGTTTTGTGATTTTGTTCTCGCGTTTTATTGTGATTTTAATGATTATGAGCTCTGTTTTCTATTCAAAAAAATATTAAATTTAATACATGTGGAGAATCATGCTTCAGCTGTGCCTGGTTTGTGGAAAAAATAATGCGGATTTCCTAACCTTTTCTCTACAGGTAAGTGGAATCAGTGGCGCACCACCTGTACTTGTTATTTATTGTATTATCTGTTACAGAGTTCCAGCCGTAACTAATTCCGGTTTCAGGTAGAAAAACTAGGATAGAATTTCATTGAAATGGAATAAAACATTATGGCAAATCTCAGGCGTCGTTCGTTCACAATCAGAATGGAGCTTTACAAATAATAAAAATGTGTACCTATAGGTACCTACCTGTATGTACCTATCTAATTTACCTAATTATGTTGATAGATAAGATAGAAAAAGAGCAGTTTGATTAATTTTTATGTAAACAATGTATCAATGAAAAGAACAAAATTATTATTCTTTAATCCCATTTACTTGATTGAAATAAAATATTACATATTAATTTGCTTACGAATTATTGTAGTTGATTTCTATAATTTTAAGCAAATAAACTTAATGTACTTACTTACTTGATATAATTTTAACTAGGTTGGTGTCAAAAAAATAGCATCAAAGTTGAATTCAACTAGAATTGTATACTTATGTTTGTATATTATAATATTTTGTTAATTTCAGATTTCAGATACGTGTGTGTGAATCAAAATTTATTGTTTGTATCATTTGAAAATAAATTGGCTTTGTATCATTGTTGTTTTATTGAAATTAATGCTCATGCAAGAAGCCCAATCAGGTAGGTATAAAATTTTTCAAATTTTAAGAAATAACTCAAAAGTTAATGTTTTTGCGTTAAAAAATGCAAATAGTATGTATATGTAGTCAGAACATTAAAAAAAAAAACATTTTTCACTCTCACTTATGTCAAAATACATTTTTTTTAATCTTGATAGGCAGGCGAAAGCGAAAATATTTCGCCAATGGGCTCTTTCACTAATTTTTGAAATTGGCATATTTGGATAAAGCAACTAAAAACAGAATTTTCTGTATTTTTACTTTTGAAAAATTCAAAGTCCTTCTTGAGAAAACAGAAAACAAAGAAATACCTCCAAATAAAAACCCAGAATTTATTTCTATGACGTCCCAGCTCGCAATTTGACCGTGTTGCCACTAATTGTCAACATTGAAAATTTGTAATAGATTTAATTCTGAAATGTTGGCAAAATCTCATGAAAAGTAGTTAAATTAATTAGTTATAGATTCAAGATTTTATAATTTTTTTTTTTTAAATTTTGCTTAAATACAATTTAATGCAATTTTTTATGTTTAGTTTTATTTATTTATTTTACGCTGCACTACATTTAGTCACAACCGACAACAGCGCATTCGAACCTTTACGTATCTTTACAGAGCCCAAACACAGCCGAGCCCTTCCTCCTTGCAACGACATAAGCGAAATGAAGAATATTTATGTGACGTCGGCAAATCGGCGCGTTTTAAAATAGTTTGAATTTAGGCACTTTTGATTGCCTATGAAAAACTTATTGAACCTTGTAGAACATTTTTTTTTTGGTATATATGCCTAAAATAGTCCCTCCTTTGAGATTTTATACTTAAATTACGTATTTAAATTTTAGTGAAAGAGCCCATTGTGTTTTTTTTTTAAATTTTAAAATATATTTTGATCCGACCGATGCTCCGCTAATGATCGCTTTCGTCGGGACGGTCACAGTCTAAGTGTTGAGCACATGTCCACAAACTTGTGGAATAAATAAACAAACCCATTCATAAAAACGTTGAGGGGGTTTGAGGGGCTTTGTTGATGTTGGCCGAAACATTTGGGTGTTTTATGAATGACTATGCGTATCTAGGTGTAGCCTGTATATAATCTAAGGTCAATACACAAAAAAGGGCACATGATGTGATAAACAACTATCGGCCAATATCACTAATAAGTACATTTGGCAAAATTTTCGAAAAAGTTTTAAAAGCAAGATTCACACAGTTCATTGAAAAACATTTTAAATTTGATAAAAATCAATACAGGTTCCAGAAAAACAGTAGTACACTGGGAGCAACTGTTGAACTTTTGGAATATACAGGGTGACTGGTAAGTAGACGTATTCCTTGGAGGAGGTGAAAGTAGAGCCCATTTGCTACCGTTTAAACATCATTTACCTCTATACCATTCTCAACAGTTTTTGAGATATTTATTCTTTTTTAATTTCCAAGAAATTCGCTCCTTTGCCCGGTAAATATTTAATATTAAGGAAAATAATAAAAGCAATTTTAAATGTCGCTTTTCAAATTATAAGCTGACACACTTACACAAATATTAGCATTGAAAATTATTGAAATAATAATATTAACTATTAAATTATTTCGGTTTAAACTTAACTTTCCTTGTCAAGTTACAAACTAATGGTTACTTTATGCTTAAAAATTTCGAAAATTTCATAGTACATCAAACGTACAAATTATTAATAAAAGTTCTCGATATAATTGTCTTCAGAATAAGGCACATTATTTCAGAATTAGTCTTTTGTTTTATTATTAAATAAATAAGTTTTATTTGTAAGAGTAACCAATATGAAGAAAAAATTACTCGATTTGTTTTTAATAACAAGTGTTACAATAGAAATGTTATCAAATATTGGTGTTAACATTTACCTAAATAAGGTATGTTCCTTATTATTTCGTTAATTTTAAATATTTACCTCCCAAAAAAGTGAATTTCTTAAATATATAAATGAAAAATATCTCAAAAACCGTTGAGAATGGTATAGAGGTAAATGATGTTTAATCGGTAGCAAATGGGCTCTGCTTTCACCTCCTCAAAGGAATACGTCCACTTACCAGTCACCCTGTATAACAAGTGAATTGGATAAAAACAAGTAAGTCATATGTGTGCAAAAAGCGTTTGATATAGGACTAGTGCTAGAAAAGCTTAAAAAAATGAGATTCCGAGGTAAATATCATAATTTGCTGTCTTCTTACTTAAAAGGTAGAAAACAGTGTACAACAGTGAATGGTCTGGTGAGCAATGAAGCTAATGCGAGTGTTGGTGTACCCCAAGGCTCAGTACTTGGACCCATGGAATACTTACTGTATGTCCAAAACTTGAAATATGCAGCTCTTAGAGCAAAATCCGTCAAATTCTGTGATGATACTGTAATTATTTTTTCAGGAACAAGCACAGATGAACTCGAACAACTAGCTAATACTGAATTAAAACAGTATTCTGACTGATTATGTCAGAATTAACTCAGTTTGAATGTGGAAAAGACCGTGTACATGGTAAAAAATCAACCAAACAGAAAAAAACATTGAACCAGTGATAAAAATTAATGACAAAACCCTAGAAAAAGTAGATGAATACAAATATTTGGGACTAGTTATAACGGAAAATTTAACATGGGCTGCACACATACAAAGTATTTTGGACAAGATAGAACTAATTTTGGGTGCAATAAAACGGTGTAGCCACAGGCTAAATAGAAATACTAGATACTTGCCTTATAATAGTTTTATTGAACCTCACATACAATATCTGTTACCATCTTATGGAAATGCCAGCTTAGAATTATTAGACAAACTACAGAACAAAGCAATTAAAGCAATATTTTCCATAAATTTCCACACACCTAGCCAAAGTCTTTATAGTGAACATCCTTTTTTAAAAGTGGAACATTTGAAAACTCTTGAGCAAGCAAAACTCATACACAAAATTAAAAACAAATTGCTAAAAACCAATGTTGAACTAAAATTAAACTGTGATATACGCAGCTATAACCTAAGAACAAGAGGAAACCTAAGAAATAAATATGCAAGAACTAGAAAAGCACAAGATTCCCCGATTTATAGAAGTGTGGACACCTACAACGAGCTGCCAGAAACTCTTTTTGTTGGTCAAGAAAAAGCCGTGAGTCGTAACCTCAAAAAAAGACCTGAAAAGCAGAGACTGAGATTTTTTTTTATATACATTATGAATACAATCATTATTTTTAAGTTTACTCCTATTTGCAAAAATGTTTATTCTAAAGCCTCGGTGCCATCAGTTATATATTGTAACTGATTAGAGTTCCGAAATAAATTACATATATTTAAAAAAAAAACATATTGATATTTTCATCATAGCACAGAAACAAAATTACAAAACTTGCCCTTAATTAGCATAAGCCATAAAGAGCTCCTAATTCATAATATAATCCCTGATTTTTTTTCCGCTATGGAAAAAGAAATAAAAGAATAGAAAAATGTTGCGATACTTAATTGAAAGAAAATTCTGACTATAATTTTTTTCAAGGTTTTTAACCCGGTTTTTAATTTCGTTTAAAAATATTTGAAAAAGTTAGGTTTCCCAAACATTTATTTCACACTTTTCAAATGAACATAAGATTGAATTTAATATTATCTATATTTTTTTTCGATTTTCCACACTCTTGCGATTTGATTTCAATATTTCCCGCCAAACCAAATTTTACATAATTGATATTCAAATTGATTTTTAGGTTATCAAACTTGCACAGATCAGAAAAAGGAAATTCTGATGCTTAATTTTGCTCATATATGAAACTCTGACATTTGTTAAAACAATTTTTAATAATTTTTTGATAAATGGAAAAAAATACTAACCTCCCGATCATAATTCCTTGTCTTTTGAGCTCTTGGAGGATGTTCATGGTGTAACAACAACAGTTTCCCTACAAGCGCCAAGAAACTAATACTTTTGCCAAATTCATTCTCATTGCCAGGAATGAATGTAAGACTTCTAAGAATATTAGATATACAGACACACCGTTTGCCTACATTTTCTTGGCTTTCTGATAAGAGAACTAAACTAGCATCATCTCTGGAATATGATTCGTCCTCATATTCAGAAAGTAGTTTTCGTTTCATAGAACCAGCTGTATCTTCACTGTCTTTGTCTTCTTTTTTTACTTTTGTTTCACTACTATTTTCCATACTATTACTGCACTCTCCATTTACACTAACGTTCAGATCTACACTTGAGGATGCAGTCTCCTCACAGTTCAAACTTCTCTCACTAACTACTTCAGTCTTAACCGTATTTAATTTCATAGACATGTCTAACATGAGCACTTTATCGTTATTATCATTTGATGTCTCTTTTTTAATTCGAGATATCACGTCACTTAATGTTTTTGTCCTACTACGTTTTTTCTCACTAACTTTGGGAGGTGGTGCTTCTTCTGGAGGAATGGATGCAGCTTGGATTTCTTTCGTTTCAGTAGTTTGTTCAGTTTTTACTCTAGGTTTTTTATCTTCTAATCTGGTATGGAATGGTATTCGTCCAAACTCGGCCTGAAAGCTTGGCAAAATATGATCGGCATTGGTATGCCATGGGTCAGCAGGAATTTCTGCTAGAATAGTTGCAGTATTTACGTCACCCCGGGTATCCCAGGATTTCAAATTATCTTGCACAAAAATATCATCTGGTCGATCAACAACCTTCACAGGAAATCCTCTTCGAGACATCAATGTATAATTTGGGGTTTTATTTAAAATTACTGTATTCAAACTGGGATCTATGGGTTTTAACACACTGCCCAAATCCACATCGTTTTCATCAGGTTTATATTCCCTAGGATACGCTCCATCAAATGTGTCTGACAGAGTTTTCTTGAAATGGTCAAGTAAAATTTCAAGCAGACCAGGCCACTGATTGAGCCCAAAATACCCCACTGATGTGTCGTCGAATAATAAAATATTTAACATATCTAGAGCGTAACTGCTTTCAGTTAGCATTCCAGATCTCAGACACATAATTAATCTCCAAGCATCTACAGGACCCAAATCTGCCCTGCATATCCGTTTCCTCCTATACAAAATTGGAGTAACATTTTCCACACTATCTGGAGGGAAAATAATTTCCCTTTTAGGCATCTGACCGTGACCATGTCCATATGAGTTTCCAAGTGTTTGCTGGTTAGATCCTTTAACGGCGCCTCCTGGCGGCATAACAGGGGGATAAGGTTTTCCCGGTCTATGAACTGGTCTCATTGGCGAGGTCTGTGGTCCTTGATTGGGCATAGGTTGCCATTGATTCTGGCCAGGCTGGCCACCTTGGTATCCTTGACTATTTGACCAAGGACCAGGAGGCCGATTTCCTTGATTCCATTGCTGTGGTGGTCCTTGATTGGTACTTGCAGTACCATACTGTGGAGGTCTATACTGATTATTATTGGGCCAGTTGCCTATAACGAAAGAAAAAAATATATAAATCTTAAATGATGATGTTCCAAATCCACATATTTTCAATACATAAAAGAAGCTTGTAAAAATGAAAGTGTTACGACAAAAGTATGAAATTATCATAAAAGTGTCCACTTTCATCAAAAATGAATGGTTTATTTGAGTTTCAACTTTTACGAAATGTAAAAGGCATTTTATAGTTTTTTAGCTGTTTAACTGACCTTAACCGCAAGTAAATCCTAAGAGATTCATAGAAAATATAAATTCTCTTACCATACATAGGTGCCCTTGGCTGCGGATAAGGATAGCTTTGATCTTTGGCAAAGTCAGGATGTCTCCTAGGAGGTTGCTGACCAGGAGGAGGCAGTCCAGGAGGGGGCATATTTTTATTTACAGGTGGCACTCCAGAATATCCAGCAGCATTCTGAAAATATTTTTCACTTATTTAAATCAAAATTGGGATAATTAAAATTATGGGGATGTAGAATTTATTTTAAAAATAGACTTTCGCGGAACAAAGTATGTAGATAGCACTTTTAGTCATCTGAACCAAGTCCTAAACAACCAAAGCTGAATTGAAAAAATATAAAAAGCTGCCTTTCAATCAAATTTTAGTTAATCCAAGACTCCCAAATAAAAGGAAAAACTATACCTGATCAGGTCTATAATAATCCTGATGGCCTGGGTAAGGACCAGTAGCAGTTTGCTGTGAAGGAGGCGGACCACTGGCTGTCGGGGCTCCTCCATAAGGGGGTCGCGGGTTGTAGCCTGCAGCTGGATTAGCATTGTATCGATTGTAAGGATCTTGCGGTGAAGAAGAAGGTGGCTGTCCGCTATTGGGCTGTCCAGGAGGGGGGCCCGACGAGTCACCTGAATATGGATAGACTGGTCTTATCCCTGATGGGTAACCTGCTTATATATGTCGCATACTTAATAACATGCAGAAAATAATAAATAAATAAATAAATAAATAAATAAATAAATAAATAAATAAATAAATGCAAACCTAATTCAAGTAAAATTACAAGCAAAGTAACTAGAAAAAAATGGGACATTATCTCTATATACTGTATGTATTGAAGTACAAATTCCAATGAGCTATTTTTCCTGTTTTGTAATTTTTTGAAAGTAAGTGAACTTTTTGGTGAATTAAATTTGTTTAATTTTGTTTTGTAACTGAATTAACCCCTTAAAAACATTCCCAAATTGCATTTATGAAAACAACGCGTCTCTACGTAATTGTCGTTAGTTCTACCAGCCACTACCTCTATCTTAAGTAGTGTAGAAGGACTTTACAAGGAGGGCTAAAATATAGCTTTTATCTTGGAACGATAAATCGGATTTGTTTTCAAGCTTATCCAGGTCATAATATCATAATATTTGTTTAAAATTCACTTTCAATAAAATATCTCATTTAATAATTACTAAACAAAGATTATGTATTTTTGCTGTGACCAAGGAAATGCAAAAATTGTTTGTTTATTCATCCTAAATTTGTAACTTACAAGACAGTTTATCTTCGATAATCAGGTAAAAACCATAAATATTAATAATAAAATAAGATATGGCTCATCAATACTATAATACCAACCAAAGAATTACCAAGTGAAGGATTTTATTTGCAGATATTTTGGAAAATATGTTTCCTTCTGATATGACTCTGGAAACAACAGAGATCTCAAAGAGGTTCGAATATTAAAGCAATTATTTACAGAAAAATGACAATATATTACAATCACCCTAATAAAAGCAAAGAGCTTGATAATAAAAATCTAATAAAAAAGCTTTAAAAAACAAGAACATAAAGAAAAACAAGCATTGATGAATCCAACTCAATTTTTCTCTCAATACTTAATTACAATAAAAATTATTAAATTTACCTGGTGAATAAGAAGGATGGGGCCCACTAGGAAATGGGCCCCCTCTTTGTGGCGGACTCGGGGAAACGTCATCGAATGGATTCGATACGCTTACGTTGTCCGCAGCTCCACTTGCAGAGCTGGGACCTGCTGGCGCAGCACTATTCAAGTGGTTTGTTCCTCCCGTACCTACAATAGAAATTAAAAAAATATACTTAATTGGCCTATTTCAAAGAAAAAGATATAAAGAAACTAAAAACTAATTGATTCTCAGGTTTCAAGAATGTTAAGTTTTTCATTTTTTGCACTATGATGCATGTGTCGGAGTGTATCTAAAACATATGCTATGCTGACAGCTCTACAAGCATTTCTTGTTCGATCATATTTTCCGGTGTTGTGGGAACCTCTTGATAAGTTTATCAAGAGATAGTTATCTGTTTGAGATTGCCCCATAAAAATAAATCGAGAGGCATCAATCAGGTGACCTAGTAGGCCATGCAATGATACCACCCCTTCCGGTTCACCGATCAGGGTACTTAGGATTGAACACTTCACGAGAAATTCTGGCATAATGAGCAGGGCAGCCATCATGTTGAAACCATATAATTTAGTAGAAGTGTCAGATCTGCAAGAAGAACTGGTAAATGTTCGTCTGGAAAATCCCGATATTTTGGTCCATCCCGGGTTTCTTCAATGAAATACGGGCCAATCAACAACACATTACGAAAAAAATCTATTCAATCCGAGTCTTTCTCGGCCCACTGACAAAGTGTCACTCTATTTTCAAAATTATCACCATGAAGTTCCAGATGTTAACAGATATGATATGGGTGGAACCTGTGCCGCTTTAAAATCCCTACAACACTGGTCTTAGAAATTCCATTCGAGAAATTCTTCGAGAAGAAACACGTGGATTTATAGCAATTCTTGCCAATACTGCGACCTCGTGATTTTCCTTAGTGGCTCGTCGTTTTCTTTTTTCCGGCTGTACATTTCTTTTTTCTGTAAACTCATATTTACAACTTGGTAAAATGAAACGCGCGATATAGCATTCCTATCTGGAGAACGTTCAGCATACAATGCAACAGCATCAACAACACTTCTATGACATTCACCTTGATGTGCAACAGAACAGAAAGATATTCCATATTTGATGGATAATCTCAAAATTTATGGTGGAATTAGCTATTTGCAATTAACAGTTGGAAAAACGGAAAGATTGTCAGTCAAAAATAAAAGTCATCATTCAATTATTAGCAAAATATCGGGGTTTTGACGTTTGGATAAAACAAAAATAGGCATTCGTAGCGATAAAAAGGCTCACAAAAAATGTTTGCTACTTCAAAACCAAAAGGTCAATAAAGGTTAGTATTAATATTTATTTATGTCATTAGGCCAAGAAGTGGGTCTTTTTGTGTTGAGCTCAAAATCCGATGTTTTACCATAGGTACTTAAATTTAATGATTTTCATCGCATTGTTCAATTCATGTCATCAAAAGGAACTCTTAGAAAGAAAAAACAAGTACATAAATTACTAGCCTTCAAATACCAATCAGGATTCATGGTGAGGAGCCCCCGATATCCAAGCAGAAATCACGGGATCTTGCGTCTTCCCCGGCCTACTCCGACTTTAACAAGTAGGTTCGTCTTTAATTAGAGTGTTAATTATCTGCATGCAACCACCTTCCCCTCAGGGACGGCTTAAGACCTCTTGAGGCCCTGGGCCTATATGTAAAAGGAGGCCCCTTACCTCTACGGGATGGGGGGAGAGCTGCTCTAGGGAATACGACATGAATAAATAAGAAAAACTTCTGATATGTAATACTGTGGAAGTTTCCTGGTCTTTCTGAAGTTTATATATATTTTATGATTGAGAGGATCAAAATATATTTTTTTTTCAATTTTTTTTCCATAAAATTTATTTTAAAGTAGGCGTGGATTTAGCGATGAGGCCCCCTTGGCACCTGAGGCCCTGGGCTCGGGCCCAGCGGGCCCATGCCTTAAGACGGCCCTGCTTCCCCTTGCTATTAAAAGTCAGCCTCCCCCAAAATATGCAGATAGAGAGGCTGCTCATTACAAAAGCCTATTATTCAGCTACGGATTTTTTTGAGGATGCACTATGAGTCTGGATCTGATGAGTAATACTGCATTTGCTTCTTACAAGGGCAGTCTATACTACTACTGTCTAAAGCTAATTGTATTAGGACTGTTATATGCCTCTGTCGACAGTATGACTCTTTGTAGTGTGAATTATATACATAATTTATGTTTGATATGTTTAGATGTGAACGTTTTATTGATCTATTTTCAGGGTTATGTATGCTAGATACACCCAACGCTAATTTTTTGTTGGTTCAACAAAGTCCCTTGTTTTCTTGTGGCGTTTTCAAAATGGAATGTATCAAAAGGGGTGAGAACTTACTTTGTGGGGGGGGTTCAGGTAACTCTGAAGGCATTTCAGATAAAGTTTCCGTTACTTTATACGAGACAGTGCGCCATCTTGTGTTATTGTGTAATTGTGTAGTAGTTCGCATAAGTGACGTCACGCGTTGCCTTACATTAACGCCACCATCTGCGAAATCAATCAAATAAATGGAATTCGATGCGCTCACTACGATTCCGTGGCTCATGTCTAAGTTGTATCGTACTGCCACCTTTGAAAAGCAGGCAAAACCAATCCGATAACAAATTCGAAATATGCAGATTTCGAAATCGATCATAAAAATGCGACAAAATTGATAACAGTACCAACTAGTCACCTATCCCCGATTAGATGAAGCAACAATGCGGATATAATGCAGGTATTTCGTATTCATCAATCAAAAGAGATGGCAGTACATAAATATCAAATCTCGATTAAGGCTGTCACACACGGTTTTGCATAACACATAAGCATAAGCCCTAACCAATCACAAGCTGTATTAAAGTTCACCTGATTTTTAGTTGACCTATAATACAAGCTGTGATTGGTTGGGGGTTATGCTTATGCATTGTGCAAAACTGTGTGTGATGGTCCTTAGCTTGTCACTTATCAGGCAGAACCAATAACCTAACTCTCATCCAAAAGAATAAATAATACAAATCAACATTGATGTAAATAAATTTTGAAGCTAATTTAAAACAAAATAGGACTAAAAGCGATTGATGAAGTCTACGATAACTAGGTAAACCAATCCCTAGAGTATCTCCACTGACAAAAATTTGAAGACCAATAATTATTAAAGGGGGAGTGACCCAAAAATTAAAGTTTTGGTGCAAAAAAAATCTAAGAATAATTATTTAAACCGCATCTTGCTACGATAGTCCTTTTACGATTTAGGGCGGTTTAAAGTTACAACTAGGTGTTTGTGATGTCACACTGGATTATCAGGGACAGTATTAACATGTGCAAGAATATTCCAAAACAAAAGACAATTATCCTGGAATCCTCCCAGAGCGAATTGCAACCACTCAAAATATAGGGTACGGTTCACTGACGACTGAACGAACAGAAGACTGCGATTTCGGCGGTTGTGACATCACAAGTTCCTGCATAATTTATCTTCACAAGGAATTTTCTCGGAGACTATTTTGAATATAGGACTGCGGTTTTCTCGAGGGATCTTAGTATGTATCAAAAGGGGTGAGAACTTCTACTTTGTAGGGGGGTCTAAGTAAATCTGAAGGCATTTCAGATAAAGTTTTCGTTACTTTATACGAGACAGTGCGCCATCTTGTGCTATTGTGTAGTACTTCGCATATGTAACGTCACGCGTTCCCTTCAATTAACGCCAGCATCTGGGAAATCAATCAAATAGATGGAATTCGATGCGCTCACTACGATTCCGTGGCTCATGTCTAAGTTTTATCGTACTGCCACCTTTGAAAAGCAGGCAAAACCAATCTGATTATAAATTTAAAATGTGCAGATGTCGAAATCGAACATAAAAATGCGACAAAATTGATAACAGTACCAACTAGTCACCTATCCCCGCAGGTATTTCGTATTCATGAATCAAAAGAGATGGCAGCACATAAATATCAAATCTCGATAAGCTTGTCACTTGTCAGGCAGAACCAATAACCTAACTGTCATTCAAAAGAATAAATAATACAAATCAACATTGATTTAAATAAATTTTGAAGCTAATTTAAAACAGAATAGGACTAAAAGCGATTGATGAAGGCTACGATAACTAGGTAAAACAATCCCAGAAGGAATGATATAAGTACCTACTAGAGTATGTACACTGACAAAAACTTGAAGAGCAATAATTATTAAAGGAGGTGTGACCCAAAAATGAAAGTTTTAGTGCAAAAAAATCAAGAATAAATATTTAAACTGCATCTTGCTACGATGGTCCTTTAACGAGTTAGGGCGGTTTAAAGTTACAACTAGGTGTTTGTGACGTCACACTGGATTATCAGGGAAAGTATGAACATCTGCAAGAATTTTCCAAAACAAAAGACAATTATCTCCTAGAGCGAATTGAATTGCAAGCACTCAAAGTATAGGGTACCGTTCACTGACAACTGTATACGAACAGAAGACTGCGATTTCGGCGGTTGTGACATCACAAGTTCCTGCATAATTTATCTTCACAAGGAATTTTCTCGGAGACTATTTTGAATATAGGACTGCGGTTTTATCGAGGAATCTTAGAATTTTTTTCTTGATTAAAGTAGCTTAAGTCGTTTTTTAGGGTCACACCCCCTTTAAGCACCAAAGAAATGTAAGTAAATAAATGAATACGTAGTACCTTATTGGTCGTGATTCCACACAAGAAAGTACAAAATAAGTTGTCCAACAATGTCACACTAAAGACCTGACTTTGGGTCTGTTCACACAAAAATCACAAACCGTCAGAGGGTTTTTGATTGGTGCAAATCGCCAACAACCAGTTTTCTGACTATTTTTAACCAATTAAATTCGCTCTGACTGGTTTATGATTTCTGTGAAAATTAGACCTTTCAACGCTACTCAATAAGAAATCACTGATTAAAAACAGAGCAGGCACTCTTGCAGTAGGTGAGAAAATTTCCATATCTTCCCACTCCATGGTAAAAATTACACGTTACAATATTTAATACTATGATAACCTTTATTCACCTTCTGGTTTTGAAGGAGAAAACATTTTTTGCAAACCTTTTGAGGACATCCGTCATCGGATGATGATCCAACGAAGCTCCTATTGGTCGAAGACTTTTCC